GGGCGGGGGAGGTGCCGTTGGCGGTTCGTGTTCTCCCTCAGGAAGGCGCTTGCGAGCTCCACAGCGGTTCTTGCCGGGTGCCAATGGAGTGAGGCGAGTGCCTCGCTTTACGGGTGATTTTTGGCAGCGTTCGCTAAGCTGAATCCTGGAGTAGCTGTCTAAAATAAAACCGGTCCTTTCCGCAACCACTATCAAAAGGCAAGTAGGGCCAGCCTGGGGAGGCAAGGTGAAACGTAGGCTTTTTACTTAAACCCGTAGGATAGTGGGTAACGCAAAAATATAGGGGTTAAAAGGTACTTAGAAAGGCAGGGAGCCCACACCACAGTGAGAAGCCATTGGTCAAAGCAGTTCAATCCTGTAGCTACAGGGATGCCAAGGAAGGCACTGAAACTAGCAGTGATTATCAAATGGAAGAGATTCTGGCAGAGGTTAACAGGTAAGAGAGACCGAGTGAAACAGCAACGGAATGTTTAGTGTCGAAATATCTAAACTGTCATGAAGAGGGGAAGCTGTAATCTGCTGGGTTAGTAACTATGTGGCCAGCTAGTCAGCTGAAAAAATCAGCAGGCAGCCAAGTGAAAACTGAATGGATTTGTTGGCATGGAGTAGCTGCAAATTAAATCCTTCCCTGAATATGATTTTTCTGAAGTGTATGAAATGAATAGATGTTACATCTAAGACATACCTATATTAGGTGCCCATATAGTGACTTTGAAAGAAAGTGATCAGAGCAGCCTTAGAGTACTTTAAAGATAGGATAAAAACCATAGAGTTATTATACAGTGCAGTAGGCCAGCTGCTACAAGAGTGAATTGTCAGCATGATTGCTTATTTCGTCATAGTAAAATACTTTTTCTCAAAAGCCAAGACTTTTTGTTGGTTCCAGTCTTTTCTCTAAGAGGAGCTACAGTTTACTTCAGGGTTCATGCTCCTGTGATCAAAAAAATTGAATAGTCCTGAAATCATGTGCTGAATATCTGGAATTATCTGGATAATTCAGTTATTAACCTGGAGGACTTTACTCTGCATCTTGATCACTAGTGATTGTGTTATACAATAGTCTTCTGCATAAACTATTTTCTTTGTCAGAGTGGTGTATTTCAAAGCCCATGCTAATGGAAGCATTTTCTATCTGAAGCCCAGCTTTGAGAAGCTATGTAGTTGTGAATATCAGCTGTTTTGCTTCAGACCTTATGTCCTGTCCTGCTCTTACTCTTCTATCCCAAAATGGTCTCAACCCCCTTTTTTTTTCTGACTGGGCCTTTCATCAGTTTTGCTTCCTCTGAGGTTTTTGGAGAACTGCTCATTTTTGTGATAATTAGAAGAGCTTGAAAGGCCAGTTCCATGAGGCCAGGCAAGAAAAGCAGAGCTTACAATTAATATTTACACATTTCTCGTTCAGCTGTTTCACTGTTAAAACCAAATGGAATTAAAAATCCAAATGTTTTTGGGTTTACCAAATTAATTTCACTGTATTTCAGTGTAGATGGCTTGAAACTGTGTTGTTGGCATGACTAGGCAGATGTGCTTATCAACAACAAACTTAATTGCATTTTCTTTATTTCTTCCAAAATTTATCTGGGAGGTAAAGAGGGGATGGTGATCCCCTGTACCTCTGTTAAAACCCCTAAGTTTCCTTCAGTGAATGTGGCACATGGTATTTCACACAGGTTTGGATTGCTTCTCCATCCCTAGTTCTGTATTGCAGTTAACATGGGTTTCTGCCCTGATGTGCCCCCTGCCCCTGAAAAAAAAAACAACAACCCTTTCCATTTTGGAATGTTAATTATTCCCTCTCTTTAGGGAAATACATTTCCCTTTTACAATATGTCACTTCTTTACATTTATTTTATAAGCTGTTATGTAATCTAATGGTAAGAGCTGTATCTTTTTAGTACTTCTGAATTTATTTTTTGGTAAAAGGCTCCTAATATTTCCCAACTCATCAGTCTTCATTTTTCAGTCTTTTAATTCACAAAGTAGTGTCTTTTTTTTTTTTTTTTCATAACCTTTGTATTTCTTCTGCTAGAGTGTTCTT